GGTTCAGTTTATTGAAATTGTGGCTGGAGTGGCTGTGACTGCAAATGGACATCTTGCACTGGTTGATAGTGTACACCCTACAGTATTTGTTTTAAATGTAAATGAAGATAATGGCATAATGAAGTGGTTTGATTGTGCTTCATATATGGAAGAACCATCAGACATTATTGTCAGAGGTTTGTGTGTTAAAATAAAATTTATCTATATAATATGTATTTATTATTATTTTTTTAAATTTTAGATGATGATTATTATGTTTGTGATTTCAAAGGACACTCGATTGTAGTGTTTAATGATGAAGGTGTATGTTTAAGACGTATTGGTGGTGAATACATCACTAGTTTTCCAAATGGCATAGATATATCAGAAAATGGAGAAATATTAGTTGGAGATTCTCATGGCAATCGTTTTCATGTTGCAGTATTTTCTCATGATGGCACTCATTTAACAGATTTAGAGTGCCCTTATATTAAAGTAAGTATATTAGGGGAAATATTGATTCCGCTTAAACTACATGTTTAGGAAAAAGATTTGTATCGATTATGCCAGGTGAAATCAATATGCAAATAGTATAAACAGAAGCTGGCAGAATCAAAATACGCTCATATATTATATTACTTAATGTACATGTTTATATTGGTTATTTTTATTTATACAGGAAAGTATAAATATATCTTTAATCACAGCTTCTTTTTTATTATTCAAATTATTAATTAAATAAAATTATTTAAAAACTTAAAGAATCTTTAAGTTGATCATATTATTGAATGTTGGTACAAAAACTAAACTATTTTAAGTTATCACATTCTACAGTCTTATTTTTCAACATTTCTGTTAAATCTTAATAGTAACCAACTCATTCAATTTTTATATTTTAATTAAAATAATTAAATATTTATTTTAGGTGTCTCGTTGTTGTGGGTTGAAAATAACTAGTGGTGGTCATATTGTTACCCTAGCAAAAAATAATCATCATGTTCTTGTCTTGAACGCAACTATGTGAGTTACTCTGAAAAAAAGTTTAAAAACTCCAAAAATGTATTTGTTAACTTATTTTTCCTGTTATTCTTCAATTTTTATTATATAAATAGTTAATTAATTTTTGAGACTGCTCGAAGTGCATTTTTTTGTTTTTCTAGGTTTAACAAATTTATTTTAATTTTTAAGAACACTGACATTTTACTGACTTTCTTTTCTTTTTTATGATTATTATTATTATTATTAAATTAATTTATTTCCTCAACAAGAAAAAGTAATTTTAGTTCCTATTTATTAAAAGGTAAAAAAATGTATGAGCTGTTTTTGTTTTTATTTTAAAAGTCTCATAATGTTAAATTTCTTGTATTTTTTTTTTTAAGATATCATAAATCATTTATTATATACATAGTATATATAATATATATTGTTTTTTTTTTTTTTTTTGTAAATAATGAACGTTTACCTCGTTTAAACAATCTAGTGAACATTTTAGTCAAATTAATCTAAATATAGGCAAAAACTTTTTGAAATTTTAATTATATATTTATACATATACTCATATATATTATTATTACATAACATGCATGTTGTTGGTGTTCTCATACGTAATTGCAATATTAAGATATTATTTTTTGTTATTTTGGTTACTAATTAGTACCAATTATTATTTTTTTTTCTTTTGTTATTTCTTTTTTTTTTTTTAACATATTAAAATATACAAGTTTTATTCTTTTTCGCTCAAACTTAAACGTTCCGTGATTATCAAACAAACCTGTTAAGCTTATTTAAAATATATATTGCAGTACATTTTTTAATAACTTATTTTCTTGGTTCTATATTATATCATAACATGAAATTAATTTAAATATCTAGTCATCTAACTGAAGCCATTTTTTTTCATAATGGCCATAAGGCATAAAATATAAGTAAAATGAATTTTATAATTGCTGATTTTAAAAATGGATTTAATTTTAAATATTTAATATTAGAACCAAGAACCAAATGTTTATCACTAATTGTTGATGACAAGATATCTGCTCTTGTTTTACTATTCTTATTTATTTATTTTGTAAATGTGAAAATGTTTAGAAAAAATTCTTCCTTGTCTTAAACATATTTATCATGATTATATTATATTAAATATTTAATTTTGTTGTAAATATTTAAGAAGACTGAATCGCTAAAAAATACTAGGTGATATTTTTGTTATTTTTTTTCTTTTATTTTTAAAAACTAAGGAAATTGTTTTATTTACCGAATTATTTATATCTATTCTATATTATTATTATGTACTATTTTAAGTTGCAATAAAACAAATTGTTTACTCTACATAAGCAGATAATTATATACCAAAACAATGATAACAATTACATGTAACAAAATATGTAATGCGTTATGACCTTGTTGATTCCTAATAAGTCATATGGCACGTGTAGTAAATTAAATTACAAATACTGTTTAGTTATCTTTCAATTAGCTGCAGTTATAGTTGTGTGTAAGTGGTCAAATAGATATGAATATTGTTACCAAGTTTTCAAACTGCAATGTCTTGAAAGATGGAAAAATTCTTACAAAGGATCTATGGGTCATAGATGGACGAATAGCTAATCCAGAAATTATATTTTATGATAAGAAAAAAATTCCAGACATTGAAATCGATTGCTTAGGATCTTTAATAACTCCCGGATTTATAGACTTACAAATTAACGGTCAGTATAAAGTAAAATATTTTATTAAAAACCTAACATAGCTTGAATATCTATGTTATTATTGTTCTTATTGTTTTGTTTGATGATTTCCAATCAACGTTAGTCTAAAGTTTCAGAAATCAAAGTTACAAAGGAATTGTTGATTGATTACACCTTAATGTTTATGTTAACAACTAAGGAAGATAACCTATTTTCATTTTTTTTTTTTTTTTTTTTTTATTTAAATTAAATATTAATCCATATGACCTTGTTACCAAAGATTATATACAGTTAACATAATTTAATACTATTCAACTATTAACAACATCTTAACATATTATAAACTGTGTTATTCAAAGAACAAACTTTAATCTTTTTAAAAAACTAAAACAGATAAGACTTGGTTTGCTATACATTAAATATTAATGTAAAGTCTTTATATTATATAGCTCTAGCATTCTTACATTTATTTAAATATTATTGAATATGCGCAGTTATCTATCTTATGATTGGTATTTTAGGTAATTACTATGACAGTTATTTTAAATTATATCTATTTTATGTAAAAATAAATACAAGTGTATGACTGTAGCTAAAAAGTATGGCCTCTTTGACTCTCCCTAATTTTCCAATTATAAATATAAATTTGAATTTCTAATATTAATTAGAGTTTATTTACCATAATATTATTCAAACAATATGTTTACAATATATTTTTCATTTACTATGTATTAAGAAATTATTCTAAAACATTAGAAATAAATTAAACTACATAAAAGAAGTTTTTTGTTGGTTTGTTCAAAAAAATCAATTAATTTATTTCATTAAAATTTAATTGATTTTCAACCTAACCTAACCCTTTGTTCAAGAGATCATTTGCTCACATTTGATTTATTAAATGTTTATAAAAAAAATAATAATAAACCTAATATTAAAATATAAAAAATAATGTGCATATAGGAGCTTTTGGAGTTGATTTTACTTATCATAGAGGAGATGGAATTGATGTGGTTAGAAAAGGATTATTACAATATGGTGTTACTGGATTTTGTCCTACAATAGTCTCAACTACTAGTTCAAATTACCATGAAGCAAGTATAGTATTAAGTTAATTAAAATTATTCTGATTTTATTAATTTTTGTTGGCTGTAAATCTTGATTAAACAACAATTTTTGATGGAAATTCTAAACTATTCATTAATATATCTTATTTTCAACATAATGAAAACATTTAAAAATTATTTTCTACATTATTTTAAAGTTTTAGATTTCATAATTTATTAACACTAGTATTATTTGTAGATATTACCTAAGTTCAAACGTTGTCATGGTAACGAAGAAGGAGCTGCAATTTTAGGGGCACATGTTGAAGGTCCATTTATTAGTAAACTAAAAAATGGTGCACATAGCCTTATTAATATAAAAACCTTAGAAAATTCTAACTTAACAGATACTTATGGAAGCTTAGATAATATAGGAATAGTTACTCTTGCACCTGAACTTTATGGTGCAATGGAGGCAATAAAATTATTATCCGATAATGGAATTGTTGTATCATTAGGACATACGTCATCAGATATGGAAACTAGTATACAAGCAGTAAAAAATGGAGCTACATTTATTACACATTTATTCAATGCAATGATTTCTGTAGGTATACTTTATTATACAACAACAACTATTTGAACAAATGGTGTTTACAGTTTCATCATAGAGATCCAGGATTGATTGGACTTATAGCATGTCCACCTAATGTTGAGAAGCCATTATTTTTTGGTATTATAGCCGATGGTACTCATACGCATCCGGCAGCATTAAAAATTGCCCATAAAGTCAATCCAGAAGGACTTGTGTTGGTAACGGATGCATTGTCAGCCATAGGGTTACCAGATGGAATTCACCATTTGGGTGATAAAGAGATTGAAATAAAGAATTCAAAAGCATACATTGCAAACACAAATACATTATGTGGAAGTGTTACTTCCTTAGATGAATGTATGAGATATTTTATTAAAGCAACAAGTAAGATTAAAACTAAGTATAATATTTGTATATAATTGTGCAATGAAAAAAAATTTTTAAAGATTGTAGTGTTGCTGAAGCAATTGAGACAGTAACATTGCATCCAGCTATGGTCTTGGGAATACAACAATTTAAAGGCACACTTAACTATGGAGCTGATGCTGATTTTGTATTTTTGGGAAATAAATTAAATGTTCAATCAACTTGGATCAATGGACAATGTGTATTTAAACATAGTAGTGGAGCTGGTTACATTGTGAAAAAAAACAACTTAAATATTTCTTAGTTATTACTTTACAATTTATTAATTTTTAAACCCAGTAATATCACTTAATGTACATATTATGAAACTTAAATTATCAAACATAAAGAAACTAATGGAATAGCCTCATTAATTGCTTGAAGAATATAATAAAATAAATAAAACTTAGAAGTATATTTTTTCTATTTACTGTCTTGCTTCTGGATTCGATGCTCCAGCGATCATCATAAATATGACTAATGGTAATATATACATCCACTGTAATAATATATTTATTAATGAATTAATATTTAATCTTTGATAAAATCTTAACTATTATTAATTCATAATTAATCAAACTACACTGTTAATTGGTTTATCAATTTTAAATAGATTATTTAACATGATGTATAAAATAAATTGTTATTATTCTTAAAAATATTTAATTTTACAAAATGATTAATTAGAAGAAAAATATATTCAGTAACGATTATTAAGATAATTTAGTAAGTCAAAAGTACATGTTGTTGATTTTTGTAAAAAAAATTTGAAATTATTTTTTGCTCTAAAAATCTTAAAAGATAAACCCAGATTTAAGTGTAATATGTGTTTTGTAAATAACTAGAAAAATAATAGATTTAATTTTAAATCAATTTTTACTTACATATTTTCCAAGCATTGATTTATTATTGCTTGATTTTCCTTTTTCCCTCGCATCGCGTTCACGTTCCATTTTTTGAATATAAGTTGCGGTATCGGGTCTACAAAAAACCCAAAAATATAGTCAGATTATATTTATGATTAAATGTAAAAAAAATAATGGAATACAAACACTGGACTGCTTTCTGGTCTTCTAAAAAATACTGTAGTTGTAATATTATTTGTGTCCAATTCACTAAAGCTATTGCAGTTGTTAGATGTAGTAGCTAAGTTAACTGCAAATGGAGAGTCTAAGTGATCCAAATGTAATGTTAAAATATCATTTAATTTAGATGCAACCATAAGACAAGCTCTAGTAAAAGTGAGAAAATGTGTTTCCTTGCCAGATAATGTTCTTACAGAAACTTTTAATCTGTATAGTTCATTTTTAGATGTTAATTGCTATAAATAAATATATTTATATAAATTATTTAAAACAAAAGATTGAATACTCATTAAATTATTACTTTTAATAACTGTATGTCTGAGTCACTAATGGTAGAAATCGACACAACATCGTTCCTAGACTCCAGATTGACAAGAATAGAACCGCGTTTGGTGAAACCACCATTGGGAATCAATTCATGTTCTAAATAAACATCAGATATTGAATCATAACTATCCTAGAAAAATAAATTGATGTATTATAATTATAAGTCATGGTTTATTAATCATACATTGTACTCACAGAACAGTAAATACTACTAAATATTGAACAAAATAAGCAAATTAGCTTATAATACATCATCTTGAGGGTTTTTGATTTAATCCTTGAAAATAAAAAAAAGAATATTTTAAAACTTACAGGATAGTATAAAGTTGACATAAAAAGTATAGTATATTATTTAGTAATTAACATTATTGCATGTTAACGCACAACATTACAATTAACAAACATAGATGCATTTATAATACACGGTAATTTTTATATTTTAGTCGAATTATAACATTACTTACTAATTAGAAGTGGCTATATTATTGGAGATAAATCTATAAGAATTATAGTGTCACTCTAGCAGTCTAGCTTCAATCACGAACAAAATACGCAAGTTGACGACATCTTAATAACAGTAGGATTTCATCTTCAAATTTCTGTATCTCAATAGTCATTAGTCAATAATTCAATATCTCTTAGTTTTTACCATTATCACGGCGCAGATAATGATTTTATCGATTTTTTTTTATTATTTACATCGTGTTCGTAACCATTTTGATAGCTGACCAAAATATTATACCAGTTGTAACCGCCGCCTGGAGCGCTGCCTACCCGTGGCGGCTTCCATTGAGTGATGAAACTAAAAAATGTGAGGTGTGAACACGCCTCATATTGGCCGTGTTTCGTCTTTTGAGTCCCTACAAAAGTTTTGCGGGACACATTTTGTTCAGTTTTATCAAGCCTGTCCCGTATTCGTTCCGTTTCTTCTTAAATGATTATGTATTTAATTTTTGAGATTTATTATACGCAAAAATTCTATATTTTTAACGAGATGCAGGTATGGGGCTTGCTGAACGGAATATTAAAATCTCTCGGATTCGTGTTTTTACAATTATAATTGCCAACTGGTATAAAATATAGTATTGATAATGATGTCATCTTTCTAGAAAAATAAACAATGTAGCATTGTTTTCGATGACGTATAACGTACGTAATACCTATTACTCCGTGCTCGAATATTTTAATATTATTTAACCATTGGTACAAACTACAAGTCCACAGGCCAGATTAAAGGCATATCGCGCGCGTGTTGCAGACCACAATATCTATTAAATTTTGTAATATCCACATATCATATCTATATAAATGTAATTTTTTATTTCGTTCACTCTGTAGGTTACCAATAGTCGGTAATATTTAGTCGAAGCGGCGTACTGGCGTAGGTCGCATCGTATGGTACTAAATAAATAGTACGATACTACGATTCGATAAAAACACATGTTCTCATAATGCAAATAAAAGGAGTTTTCAGTTTATAATACATCATTTCAATTCAAACTCGAAAGTAAAACTTAAAGTTTTCAAAATGACAAATTTAATAGGAGAAATAGCAGGTATATTAACTTGTATTTTAAATAATTGAGAGTTTGAAAAAACAATAGGTACTTATTTTGGAGGTGTTTTGAGAAAAAGAGCAAACATTTTTTTTTTAAATTTCAAATTACAATTTAAAAACGAATACTACTTGAGGTATAGATTGCTGTACGCTGCTCATATTTTACATAACTCGATGCAATCAATTGCCGATGTGTTAACTAACATTATGTAATTTAGAAAAATGTTATTTTTAGGGAATTGAAGGTTTTTTGTTACTACGTAGATTTTGTTTCACTTTCTATTCTCAATACATTTTTCAAAATGTTTTTATTAATATTTTAAGCTATCTATATTATGAACATATCTACAGTTCTATGGTACACCGATATTGTCGTACACAAAGTATTAATAGCTAGACGCTAGTTTATTATATAAAATACAATTTTATAATTACCTACTATACATATTACACAGTTTACACAATTTTTTTTTGGCAAAAATCTGTTTAACTTACCGTGTGCATTACATAATACGTGTATTTGCTAACATAAAAATTAATTATTTATAGCAACATAAATATATATTAAAATATGTTTTGAAATGAAGTTTGATTAACAGCATTGAAATTTCAGTTTTGTGTGTTCATGAATCTTAATTCCAAGAAATTACATTAGGTACTTTTTTTTACATATTTTATAATTTATTTGTAAATTAAATTGTTTATATAATCATACTCGGCGTCCTGAATAGGCAATCTGACTACACCACTACCCAGGATTCCAGGCGCCCAGGAATTCTGGCTACAACTAATCTTTTTTCAAAAAGGTATACAGTAATTGGGTCACTATTAAATTTTAATAAAATAAAATAATATTTAATAAATTATAATACAATATGCATAAACTGCTACAATATCTAAGATTGTAATGTACAAGAAAGTTTACTCGAAACGACCGCGTACCTATTAAATATAAAGTAATACATTATTTAATATTAAATAATATAGAATTAGCAGGGGCTGTCATTAAAAATGCAATGAATAAAAATATCCAAACGCGTAATTTAAAAAGATTATAAAACATCGCGATCGTTTAGTTCAGGGGTCGGCAACCTTTTTAACCACACGGGCCATTTTTTTTTTCAATTGTTCATCAAGGGCCACATTAAAAAAAAAAATTACATATTATGATATAATACTTATAGTTGTATTGCTATTATGAAACGGTTAGATTAGATTTTATTTATAAAGGAAAAAGAATTATATAATATTGAAAATTATATGAAAAATGTTATTGAACAAAAGTAAAACACAAAAATTAACCACCTTTGTGCGGGCCATCAAAAATTGCTTTGCGGGCCGCGGGTTGCCGACCCCTGGTTTAGTTGATTGCAAACTATGCGATCCTGGAACCACGTTTAGTATTATCATTGATTATAGAATAATCGATTATAATCAATGGTATTATGTGTGTGGTTCGGTAATATACGAGTGGTAACGGAAGTTGTAAGATAGATGAATCAAGCTTAGAACATAACCACGATAAAGAAAAACGACCAAAGGCATTTCGGCGAAATCATTCAAAATTATTTTATCAGAAATTGAAAACTGCACATCAGTAGATACTAAATTATTTTTATTAAAACTTATAAACCTATCAAGTGATAATGTATAACGAGTTTAACAGATTAAACTTTATTACCAAAAAATATTAGTGAATTACATAATTATCTAGATATAATTGATTTAATTATCAACACAAAAAAAAAGAAAATTTTTTATTAATAAATATAACAAAAATGACCATATTATTTTTTCCAGGATTACAAATTTGAATCTCCTACACTATGCAAATAGTTTATGTTCTTTAAATAAATCAGATAAGTCAAACGTAGTGTCCAATGGCTTAAAAGTATTGAATAAAATATGTTATTTGAGCCTCATAATTAGTTTAAAATATAATCTAAAAAAATTGTTGGGTATGCATACATCAATCATAAAATGTTTACCGAAATGAAAAAATTACTAAAAATGCTCTTTATTTTCAATTATCCTAGTAGCCACAGACTTTAAAAAAGTAGATGGTAGTATATTTATTTGACAAGTCGCTTAAGATGATGTCAGCGCATTAGCTTTTTTTTTTTTAATAATTTTTGAAAAATTTGAATTATGTTAACAGTAAAATCGTAAATTACCAAAATGATCGAGAATAATATTTAAGAGAATTTAATCTACAGATTTTTTTAAATTTTATTTATTAATTAACCATTTATTTCATAAAACTTAAAATTTTAACAGTATTACATTAGTTTTGATAAAATAATTAAACAAAACTGTATCTCAAACCTTCAAAAAATATTATTATTTATAATTGTTATAGGTAGTAAATGATTTTAAAATACCTTAAAATCATAAAACACCATTTTGTGTAAATATGTTTATTTTTGTTTTCCTTTCGAGTCAGAGTTAAAACTAATATGCTAACATTCTCTAAAAAAAAATAGTCTTCAAAAAATTTATCAAATAAAATAAAATAAATTTCTTAAAATACAATGAAATATATTTTTAGATAGTTTTTATTAGTTATTATAAATTAAAACAGTCATCTTAATGTATAATTTTTAATTAAATTAAATTAAAATACAGTTGTCATCCTGCTACAAATAAAAATTGAGATAAATATTGTCCAACACCTACTAGTTTCAATTGCAAAAGTTTGTTCATTTTTTATGAGAAATAAACGAATTTTATTATATATTACTCAGTTGAAACAATAATATCATTTAGACAAATATTATAACAACCTTATCAAAAAACACACAATATGTAAATTAAAAGTAAAACTAAAAGTCAAAATTGAAGTTAAAAAATAAATTACAATCTCTAAAATCATATAAGATTTTGATTTAAAAAAAAAAAAAAAAAAGGTTAGGTTACATATCATATTAATTTTTTTTCTTAGTATAATAATAAGAATGCTAAATAAATGTATATTTTTGAACTGAACCAAGTGATTTAGTGTAATAATCAAGCATACAAAACTTGTGAGATTTCTGATATTATACTAAACCAAGTATGTTAAAATGTTATTAAAAATACTTTACCAATATGGTTTAGAAAAATACCAAAACATTATTAAATAAACAGTTCAAATACTTTAGTAGTAATAGTATGTCTTTAATATATCACAAGATCAGATGTATGTTTGAAAATGATACAAATTTTCTTGGTTAGTTCTAATAAGCAAATAATGGATACAAAATATTTAAAAATTAAACTAGTAGAAAAAGAATAAGAATATATTTACAAGGAGATAATGGCTGTACTGGTGTTATAAGTAGATTTTCCAAATATTCTAATACTGTAATTATACTTAACGATAAATAATAACGGCAAATGTGAGAAAACCCATTAGTAAAACCTACGTTTATTTTTAACACAATATAATAACTACTAATCAAATATATACCATAAAAGTTAAATAATCAGATCAAAAATTTTAAAAATATTTCAATTTAAAAGTCCTTTGGCTTTGTAAACATCCCGCAATAGTGATTTCAAATACTTAATTTCTCTAGCTAGTTCTTTAGCTTCATCCTTCAGTGTATCATTTCTTTGCAAAAGCTGTTTCTCTTCTACTACAGATTCTTTGATTTCAGCTTTTTTCTTCATCCTGTATCTTGTTGCTGCATTTTTGTTTTGTTCTTTTTTACGTAAGCGCTTTTCTTCATTGGGTGCCTTTGGAGAGTATGGTTTGTCTCGTTTAGTTGTTTTATCACTGTATGAATCAGTATGGCTACTAGCGTCCGACGACATGAAGTCTGACAATGTATCTTCATCGACTACCAACTGGCTGAGTTCTTCTGGTTGCATATCATCCAGCATAGACATTAGGACATCAGTATCTTTGGGACTTTCTGGCGGTGTCAATGAAGCGGGTGGAACATAGTTGAATTTTGGCTGAATGGATGTTTCATGGCAATACATAGGTGCATACTGTTGGGTTGGATATGGTTGGTACTGAATAGCTTTGTTGGAAGGGACGAATTTCTGATATTCCATTGGTTTCATTTCAATGTTGTTAGGAGAAGTGTTTGTCATGAAATCATCAAATATTGGAAGGT